GGAGGTGGACAGAGTGGCAACATGACAATGTGTGTCATGCTAGAAAAAAGTCAAGAGCCAGTTTGCTGTTGTGGAGTTGGCCACCGGCAAAAATCAAAACCAAAAAAGCTTGTCTATCCTCTGCCTTTCCCCGGCTTAGGCAATAGACGGCAGCCTTCCAGAAAGGTGCCAACATTCGGTGTTACCAATGAGAAACCAAGGCCGGGTGAGCGGATAAGCTGCCTTTCCACCAAGCATCCAGTCAGGAGTTTGCCTTCGGTGGTCCCAGCACCCCTCAGGGACTGGTGCATAAAAGAAGGAAGAAATGCCTCCCCCCATGCCGTGGAGGTCACCCCGACTTGCAAAGGGCACAGCACGAGAGTGGAAAGGGCTGGTGACAGCGAGGGCCACCTTCAAAACAAGGACGCGCTGGAGATAGATTTGCAGTATTCCTGAACCACAGACTCCAGTGGTGTAGATGTGCCAGCCGTACCGACCTTCACTGAACTGGAGGTTCGCGTCTACGCCGTATGAATTTCAATTCAGCAAATTATGCTTAAGACACAAATACCCCAAAGTGAATGTAAACACACCAGAAAGCTCGCTGCTGTCGTCTGCAGGGGGCATGCTTACACGAGCATGCTCCTGAGGCTTCACTCGGGACAGCTGACATCATTCTCTAGTGACTGTGTTTCTGCTCTTCCCTTGGTGTCTACCCTCGGGGCTTTGGGCTGGCCTCGTGGGGTGGATAAGGAGCTGATGGTGTCACTTTTTATACAGCAACAGCTACGCTGTGCGCTACCAAAACACAAAGCCTGCAGACACTAAGCTTCGGGCTTGGGGTTGGGTGTTTCAGTTGACGGTCTCTTCTGAGGGGTTCCTGTTTTTCTCATTGAATAGTAAGTCACGTGGGCTGGGGCCACTGACCAACCCAACCCAGCAACCTCAGCAACATCTGTTTCCCTTTATCTTCGAGAAAGGAATGACTGCGCATTCCCTGGGAACGGTTGCTAGGAGAAGAATGTCTGATACACAGATGTGATTAAGAAAGAATTCAATTAACATCACCTTTCAGCTGACGCTGGGGACATGTTGCTAAACACTGGATGCACATGTGTATGCCTGTGTCTGCATTCATGTGGTTGTATGTACCTGTGTGTATAGGCCCATGTGTGTGCACATACTTATCTGAGAGTATAAGCATGTGGGAAAGTATAAGCATGTTGTGCATGTGTACCTATGTGTGAACCCATGCTTGCACATGCGTGCATGCCTGGTCATGAGCATGCATGTTAGTGTGTATGAATACACCCCAGACAAGCATCTCTTATACTGTGAAAAGGCCTCCATGGAGGAAGGGATTGGCTTTGAAGGTGGGTAGGACTACATTCTCCGCAGTGGGCACGGGAGTGGAGAATTCATATATCTTGTAAGCTTTAATGCCTTGGGGGAGACTACTCTTCAAAAAATTTGAAATACATATCTGAAGACTCCTTCTAAAGGGAACAATCATCTCCCACTTCCTGTTTGGAAAAATGCATCTTCTAGTCTTTTAAAATGTGGCATAGAATTTGGAGACAGGGTCAGTGTCTAAGGCCTGCCTGTGTACTTCAAAACAGGTCTGGAAGGATTGGCTACAAGATGGCACTTCTGTGCAACAAAGTAACAGAAGCGATCATCAAAGAGCAGTAAAGCAAAGACAAGACAGGAATCTGCTCTCCCGAGATGTCTCAAGGGCTGGGGAGGGGAGAAAAGGCTGGGCCACTACAGTGGGTGTAACAGCTCCTTCACTTGTCTACATTCTCCAAGAAGAGCCTCAGTTATTTCTCTTCTTGTGTTGTAATGAAGGCATGTGAAGGGTTAACTTTGTTTCAAAGAAATTGTATCCTCAGAACTAAATAGATGGCTGGCAGTTAAGCGCATGTACTGCTCCTGCAGAAAACCCAGGTTTGGTCCCCATCATCCATGTAGGCTCATGACCACCTACAACTCCAGCTCGGGGATCTGACACTTCTGTTCTCTGCAGGCACATGTACTCACGTGCCTGCACTTAACTACACACAGATTCACAGATACACATCTGCTTAAAATAATAAACATAAGTCTTAAAAGTTAAAAATGAAAAGAGACTGGGCATGTTCATGATGCCTTTAAACCCAGCCCTCAGGTGTCAGAGGCAGGCATAAATAACAGAAAATAATAATAATAATTAGAAAATATTGCATTCCTGCCCAGGGTCTCCAGACGTCTGAACTCAGGGAGGCTGGTTTAAGGTCATCAGAAGGAGGGAATGAGGGATACACACAGAAGGGCCAACCACTGTTGGCTACACTCTGCAGTTCTTGGAGTGCTGAGTTACTCGGTGACAACTAGGAACGTCGCCTACAGTAGGAACCACGTTCTGGAACAGGAACACCCCTACTCACGTCTAGGTGAGAGTCAAACTCCCCACCCTGCCTGTGGGTGGGGCCTCTACCTGCCCCAGTGCACTTTCTAGAGCCCTTGGTCTCCGGGGCCCAGGGGACAGCTCAGCACAGTTCTGCTCTCAGATCCTGTCTGGGGGATAGCAGTGGCTGCTCCAGGACAGGAAGCATCATTCCAGCTTGCTTCCATCAATTAGTTTTCACCCTTCTTAATGCTGGTCCTGATGGCTCAGACATATGAGACAGAGCTGGTGTAGGACTCTAGTCAGTGTGCATTGCGGGGAGAAAATGAGACCTGGGGAAGCCGGGTTATCCTAGCTGTCATAAGGAGTGTTACCCAAGGATCACATTGAGCCTATCTCCCCCCCCCCATCACCTACACAGCTCCACAAGACAGAGACAGTTAGAAGATGCTAAGAACATTCATAACAGAATGAGAAAGGCCAGTAATTCTAATTCGGTGCTGCCCAGAGGGGCCCAGTTAGGGTTTCAGAAACCCGAATTCTGCTTCCACTCTCCAAGGAATGTCTGGGGTTGTGCACATCCCAAGAGGTTCGATCCAGACAGAACACAGCTAAGGTGGGAATGGCGGCCAGGCAGCGTCATCCTTAACATAGGAAGGGGCCTTCAAACGCCTTCCATCAACTCTTTTTCCCATCCCCTGGTCCTGCCACCTTCCCACTCAGTCTGTGTGGGCAAGGCCCAGGGCAGACTGCAAAGCTCTGAGCTAAACAAACTCTTAAAAGGCCAGGGAACCTCCAATGAGCCATTTTTCAGACTTTAATTCTACCGAGTGGAACTTAAAAGGCCTTTCCATTTGCTCAGCTTGCATTCCCTCTGCCTGGGGCAAGCAGCCTCCCTCCAAGGAGTCAAGAACAATCAGCGGAGAGTGCACAGCTCAGCTAACCATCCGGGCACCAATCTGCTGCACAAGCCAGGGTTCACCCAGCCAGGCACAGCGGCCGTGTAGGCCAGCAACTGGAAGACATCTGGATTTTACCATCAAGAAGCATCCTATAAGCACTCAGCCAGGGTCTGTTTGATCACAGCAACAGCATCTACAGCCTGAATTCATTTCCAGGAGCAAAATCTAGGAAGGGTCCGAGTGACACAGCCTCACGCTCTGCAGAGTGTTCCCCTGACTTGGATAGGGGCATTGGGCCCGGAGAACCCAGGCATGTGCTCTGCTCCGTCAGTCATGGGCTAGGCAACCATGACCTCGCTGAGCGCAGGGAAGAGCACCTACTATGCACATGACATGAGCATCAGCACATGAGCAGGACATTCCCTTGACCAAAGCATGGGCATGAGGACACAAGACCCAGTTGGGGCAGCCTGCGCTCTCCACACAGCACCTTGGACTGGCACTTGGTCCCAGCTCTCGGCTGGGCATGAGAGCTGATGCAAACAGAGCATCCCCGGGGATGCCTGAGTTGAGAGAAGGCTTCCCTGACCCCTGCTCAGCTCCCTCTGTCACCGACTCAATCCAAGTTACCTTGACCATAAAAGGACAGGACCAGACCCTGCCAGGACCACCCAGTTCTATGCATTTCCCTGAGCACTGACAAGGAGACCCAACACTTAAGAACTAGCAAGATGGAAAGGGTACATGAGGAAGATTCCCAGGGAAAGACGCCCCTCCTCATGATACTGCCGCATGGGGATGTCCCCACCTGAGCCCACCTCCCTCCAGCTCCATGGAAACCTGGCACCCGTTCACCACTATGGTTCCCAAGACCCGCTAACCAGGGCTAGGGTATCTGGGGTGCAGGAGGAATGGCCTGGTTTCCCATCAGCCACACCTCTTGGGTAGCCTGGCAGAGTCTGGCCCTCTGCAGGAGCTTTACTCTGTGTTTACAAAGCCACTCATTCTCCTGGCATTCAGAATACCGAGGAAACCTCAGCCAGGGCTGTTCATAGGCCAAGGGCATCCCTGGGGAGAAGGATGAATTCATAGCCACAGCACAGGTGCCAAGAGTAACCAAGGTTCCCAGTTGGCCCAAGCCACATTGGGGAGTGAGGGTTGGAGCTCCTGGGCTAAGCTGAGCCCATATTCCCTCCTGCCGTCTATCCTGGCCACTTGGGCAAAGCTTTGTACCACCCGTGCTTGGGACCCACACCCTGGTAGAAGCAGAGCCTGTAGCCACACAGGGGGATTCCACTCTAAGTCAGAACCGGAGGGAGCCAGGGAGGAGGAGGAGGAGAGGAGGGTTTGGCACAGTGACATGGAATATAAATGACTCTTGTAAACAGAGTTTAATAAAAAGGCAGTGAGGGAATTTATGAGCAACCCAAGGATAATTAAAATTATTTATCTACTTACCTCCCTTGCTGGCTGATCAGTCTATTAATTATCTATTATGTACATGCTGATTTGCATTTTAGTGAGGGGAGGGGTAAGGGCAGGTGAGCAGCACAGGGGTGGGGGGGGAGGGTTCACGCGGTTGGAACAGTATGAAGGAACACCGCTGTGGGCAGAGCTTGGTTCTCCTCTGTTGACCTCTAATCTCATGTCCCTTGACTTCCCTCCCCCTGCCCACATGGGCCACCCTTGGCCACTGAGGTCCAGACACGGTAGAGCAGAAAGTATCACCTTACCTGTTTGCAGAATGGGCCACTCCTAGGACAGGTTCCCGCCGAAGAGGCCTGCGGGCCAGCTCCGGGGAAGGTTGGCAGATTCCCCCTCGGCGCGCCTGACTTCGCCCTGCATTTGGGAAGAAAGCAAGAGGCTGAAATCATTTTCAATCCCCTCTCACATCCGGGAGACATCAGACGCACCTTGCCCTGCGTTCTTGATCAGAACTACCTCAGGATGCCGTTCAGTGTCTTTTGAACGCTGTGGATGAGGAACTCTTGGGTGCTCGCTGGCTAGTCATGGCTCTGGGGGCTGAAGGTGAACAAGTGGGAGAGGATGCCGGGCATCAGAGGGAGGCTTCCGGCGGGTGACAACAGGGTGAGCTGACCAAGGGGGACCACTGATGGGTGGCCACTCTGATCCGTCTCCCACACGGGACCCATTCTCTTTTCCACCCAGCTCAGCCCTCGTGTGGCTGTGTCCTCGGTGTCATCTCCACTCCCAGCCTTTGTTCCCAAGCACCGGGCTCAGCCTCAGTGGCAATGTCGTACCCCCAAGGGACTACCAGGCCTATAATGATACCTCGGTGCTTACTTAGGCTGCCCCTTCCTTCTAAACCTGCCAGGGATGCCCCCAGCTAGCCACAGGCCCCCTCCTTTATCCCGAGCTGTCTCTCACAGGTTGCGATGCAGTGCCTCTCTCATCGACTCTCAGCCAAGTCCAGGGAGACCTAGGTCCTGCATCTCTGCTGGACCATGTCTGCAATGGGTAGACACAGGGCCCTCTCTGGTCTGTGCTTGGTGGGATCTCCCGCAAAGGCCATATGATAAATTCCCAGTGCCCAATGTGAGAATGTTTGGAGAGGGGCCTGATAGATGATTAGCTGTGAGGATGGCACCTTCATGGGGGGGCGGGGGCGGTACCCTTGTAAGTAGCCTCCCTTCTCCTGGTTTTACTGGCTAGTCAGTCTAGCCCAATCAGGTGAGCCCCAGGGCCTATGGAGAGACTGTCTCAAAACACACAGTAGGGCAGCGTCCTGTTATACCAGCTCACCGCCAGGCTCATCTGGCTGGACCTTAGGGCTATGGAACGCTTGATGACCAGCTTTTGTGGTTATCTGGTGAGGTCCTAGCCAGGAATCCCAACAAAATCCAGGTTTTCCTGGACTGATTTGACATCTACGATCTGATCCCTTCATGGGAAATGAGTCCCAGGGTGTGGGTGGGTCTAATTCAATTACCTTAAAATGAAGAGTGAAATGGACTTGACTGGAGGCTTGACTGGCCATCCCCAACTAAGCCAGCCTGGCCTGCAGAATCTGAACAAGTCACCTTCTCCTAAGAGCCATAAGCTCAGTCATCAGTCTAACTGGCTCTCTGGCTGGCCGGCTTCCATTGGTTCTACTCACTGGGCCTGTGGAGGTCTCTTACAGATTGGACTCCTAGAAAGGCCGTGTCTGTCGAGAGACTAGAAAAACCCATCCCTGTAGAAGTTGGGGGTATAAGGGCTTCACAGTCGTTAGTCTGAAACCTGCTGGCCATCTTGACAGTGAGGTTGCCCAGCCTGAGCTTCAGCCCCAGCCCCAAGCCCGTGCGTGGCGTTTGCACCGGGCTCCCTACTGGTGTCTCCCTGACGCTCCTCCGGCCCAAGCCCCCTTCCCCCTAACCGAGTATAGCCTCTCAGTTCTTACAGTGTGCCTACAGCTGCAACGCAGAGATGCCGCACTGAGCGCCGCGCTACTAGGGCTAATTGTGTTTAGAATGGGTTCCCGGGGCTGTGAATACCAAGGTGGAGCTGCTGAGAGTTAGGCATGCCCGGGGGAGGTTCAAGAGCCAAAGAGGAAGTCTGGGCTGAAAAGGAGTGGGCAGATTTTCCAGAAAGAAATCAAGAGGAGACAGCCAACAGAACAAGTTGTGCGCCCCCTCTTCATGGCAGCGGCATGAGTAGGTGCTACATGGCTAGACTCTGCAAGGAATGGGGGACAAGACCCTCTGTGTGTCCAGCCAGGATGCCAGGCTAACAGAACAGTGTTCCAAGGCGGGCGTAGATAGCACAGCTCACTCTTGGGTGACAGGCACCTTCCTGGGCTGGGGACACTGGAAGGGTGGAAGGTTGTCACTCAGGAACAGAAGAGCTCAGGCTGGGAAAGCCTTGGCCACTGGAGGTAGTAAACAAACCCCAGGGGCCTCTGAAACTTGGGTACTTGAGAGTTTATTGGCTCAATAAACTGTCCCTGAGCCCTCACCCTCGAGTCTTCCCTAGGTAGAGCTTAGGTGAAGACAGGGGAAGGGGAGTGAGTATCTGTGGCCTTCACAGCCTCCGCAGGGTGACTTGATAGCCGTAACAACAGTCCCAGGGTGCAGCCGCAGCACAGAATGCTGGGGGGGGGCACCCCAGACACACGGTCTGCACTTTGGTAGCATGGATGACCCCCACCGCCTTGCTCTTGCCGGCGCTGGCCAGATTGCTATAGCCAACTCCCCAGAGTGCCTTTTCCTACTTCTGGGCTGCCTCTGACAAGGCCACACAGCTGTCAGGGGTGGCGTGGGGCAGCAGGGTGAGGGGAGGCTCCTGCTGACTGCAAGGGCTTGCTTAGCTCAGAAGCAGAAACCTCCCAGGCCCAGGCCCGGCCACAGAGCATTAAAGTCCAGGGTGAAGGGTTCCATGTTGCATGGTTTAACTCATTCATTCGTCACCCTATCACTCCACCCTGGAGCCTCATCCCAAAGCTCCCAGCAGGGCCCAGGTGGAGCCAACCCGAGGCTGCCGTCAGTGCTGTCTTGTCCGGGTGTAGGGAGATAGACAGAGAGCCTCTACAGCTCCCAAGGGGTCTGCGGGCCAACTTGAGGAAGAGGGGGAGGGGCGGGGCAGGTAAGGTCCTGTCTCTTCCTGCTGTATGAGGGCGTGGAACGATAACCGCCGTGAACCACGGGGAAAGCCAGGGCTGCCGTTCCGCTGTCCGTATCACTGGTGCAGAGCCCTGACTCCTTCCATGAGCTGCAAAGGGACTGGGGGGGAGGTCTTAGCCTCCCAGCAAAGCCGCTGTGGCAGTGACACTTTTACCTGGGGAGGAGGGCTTGCTCTCAAGTTCCTGAGCACACGAGAACCCCCTGGCAACAAACCCTGCCCATCCTCCCATACCCAGGAGCTACTGTCACAAGCAAAGCTAGATGCCCCGGTATCTTGGTGGGGGGTTGACCCCAGGGTTTCCATGGGTATCAGAATCTGAAGATGTTCAAGAGACTAAGACACGGTGTGACATTGGCATAAAAACTATACACATATGCTAATTTCCACTACATTCTACTTATTTATTATATGTGGATGTGGATAAGGATGCCCGCGGAAGCCAGAGGACAACTTGTGGGTGTCAGCTCTCTCCTTCCACAATGAGATCTTGGGAATCGGACCCAAGTTATTGGGCTTGGCAACGCTCAGTGACAAGCCCCTTAGTCACGGAGTCATCCGGCTCACCCTCTCTCATATGCTTTACTTATTTACTTAAACTAAGGTTTCATTTACTTATTTACTGATTCAGTGTGTGTGTGTGTGTGTGTGTGTGTGTGTGTGTGTAATATATGAATTCACTCTCCTAAGAGTGCATGCATAGAGCTAGGGGTGGCGGCGGGTGTCTCCAGTTGCTTTCCGCTTTGCTTTTTGAGATGGTCTCTCTCTTACCGAGCCTGGAGCTTTTTCTGCATCTGGCTAGATGGACTTCAGAGTGAATCCCTGGGATCTCATCTGCTTCTTCTAGCACCGGGGTTACAGGCACGCACCCCCACATCCGGCTTTTTATGTGCGTGCTGGAGATCTGAGTTCAGGTCCTCACAATGCATAGCTTTCCCCACTGAGCCGTCTGCCAGCCCCATCTCCCAGACTGACACTGGTGCAGTGTCAGGCTTGTAAAAAGCTGATCTCTGCATTGTTTAGGGTGACAAGAAAGAAAGAAAAGGTCTGTGCACACTCACAGCAGGAGCAATGATTTTTTTTTCCTGAACATTTCGATCTGTGGTTGTTTGGACCCACAGATGTGGAGTCCACAGAAAAAGAGGCCCGGCTCCTCTCCACGGATTGTTCCTGACAAGCCAGGGTGGGGGCTCAGATAGTCAGGCCATCTTGGAGGGTAGTGAGAGGTCACAGTTCCTAAGTGACACCTCAACCATAGCCACAGAGACTTGCAAGGGGGCCGCAGGTAACCCAGCCTAACGGGAAATGCCCAAAGTGTGTGGTTGGCCTTTCTTTTCTTTTATAGGCAGGGTCTCTTGTATCCCATGCTGGCTTCAAACTTGTTACGCAGCCAACAATGACTCTGACCTTGTGGTCTTCCATCGCCCACCTGCCATGTGCTGGGATTAGTAAATGATCTTTGTAGTATCTTAAATGTTTTCCTGGGACAGGCTGCTTTCAGGAGTGACAGGGAAGTGCATGGGGGTGACCAAGAGTCCCTGGGAGCAGGCAGGACCACTGAGTCTCCTACAAACAGATGGAATAGCAGACTTCAGGTCATAGCCCCCTCAGACAGGTGCCCTCCTTGCTCCTGGATGCACAAATGTGGGGATGATTGACAGCAGCCCAGGGTCAGTGAGGGTGGGAACAAGGCAGAGATGTGCACTGGTTGGTCCACGGCGTCGGAGGGTGGGGCAGGTCCTGGTGCCTTCTAAGCCCAAGTCACTCACTGCCTGTCTCTGTCTCTCTCTCTGTGTCTCTCTGTCTGTCTGTCTGTGTCTCTGTCTCTCTCTTTGTCTCTCTCTCTGTCTCTGTCTGTCTTTTTCTCTTTCTCTCTCTCTGTCTCTCTCTGTCTGTCTGTCTCTCTTTTTCTCTCTCTCTGTGTCTCTGTCTCTTTCTTTCTCTCTCTCTCCCTCCTTCCCTCCCTCCCCCCCCCATGTGACACACATATGTGAGCATATGTACACACAGGGGTGTGCCCCCATGCATATCAGTGGTCAACAAGAGTGCCTTCCTCTGTGGGTCTTCACCCTATTGTTTGAGTCAGGATCACTCACTGAACCTGTAGCTGGCTGATTCATCAAGGATAACTGGACAGCAAACCCCAGGAATCCTCCTGTCTCCACCTCCCAGTGCTAGGATTATAGACCCATGCCACTGCCCGGTACCCATTTTTTAAAAAT